GGGAGAAATCGGTCAGCGGTTTTTGCATAATGCGGTGGATGTATTATTGAGCCTCGAGGGCGAGTGTATATTGAGTACAGGACCTGGAGGGTAAGACGTCGCCTCCCCACCTCCTAGAGATAAGATGGAAACAATTCCTATCTAATCTCGGACTATCTCTAACTACCAAATGTATCTCTAACACAGTTACTACACTGGTTTAGGAAAAGATCATAGTTTTATATACTTTCAGGTGTCTGGTTTCATAAATTGTGGTATGTCCAGTCCCAAGTAAGAGTATTGAAAAAACTCTCCACCTTAAACTCACAAGTTTTTAGAAATCAAAGAACCAAACTGGTGAGGAATCACAACAAATCTTACATTGCTTGACTGTTATGAAAGAAATTAGAAATGGTTGATAGAATCTCCATCTACGACAATTTAACTAATATCTTAGAATTCTCCCTCACTCGTAACTTCCCAAATTGAGATTGTTCCACAATGCCCGAAGTTCTTAGAGAGCCGACGACGATCTCATGTGGATATAAATAAAATCTCCAATAATTTTGTGACATCCAATTTCACAAGATGCTTTGTCCTCGCACCATAGACAAGATTGTTAATATCTTAACACACACCTCATTTTTTAACTAATAGAGAAACACAATATTTCTCCTGCTCTCCTTGTCTTATTCTCGACTTTCAGAGATACTTGTGGAAGAGACTAAACTCACCACGTTTTCAGTTCCCTAGCACTCACCGATGAGTGCTATTTGGAAGAAATGATGATGGCCTTGACTAAAATTGGACGGAACTACCCTTTTAGAAAATGGCTAGCCCCACCCTAGTTTTGTAATGGTCCCACCATTATTCGTAATTTCATGTAATTTTAGTCTTGTAATTCCTCGTAACTCTACTTTCTCCACCGTTTGATCGCAGTGGATGGACGACCCGTAGAATCACCAATCACGGTAACAGTTGTATAAGAAAAATGAAACTAACTTCTTTTAGTAATTTCGTTCGTCCTTCATGTTGAAATAATGATGATGCATTAAAGAAAATGAGTACATTTAGACTTCACCATTTGTTTTAGAAAAATTTCTAACATACTATTTCTTCTCCATAATTTTTTGTACTTGAGTGGGTGCACGGTGTTTGCGCATAACAATCTGAATATGGGAGGTTTAACATTTATTTCGATGTTGTTATTGCAGAAAAGGAATCACAATATTGAATCGACCATTGCTGACGATTTTGATAACCGGCATTTAAAATCAGCAACATTTTCTGAATAGAGTGTTTTGGAATCGGATAAAAAATGAGTATCCATTGCTATCATTTCCATCACCAATCATCTGAACATTATGTTGGGCTTCTGTTCTGAATTGAGTATTTTGGAGTCAGATAATTAGATAAAAAGTGATCTATTTTCATCATCTCCACCATCAACCATCTTAATGTTATATTCGGTTTCTGAATTAAAGAATGAAGAAAAAATAATCCTTTGGAGGGTTTTCTCCTGTTGCAATGCACGGACATGTTCGATTTATGTCATTACATAAATGATAGCCTCACAACAGGATCATTAGATGCAATCATCTTTTCAATTACTTTTCTTGTCTTCACGAGCATTCATGTCTTTCCTTTCACCATGCATTTAAATAGAAAACCATTTCGTAGAAAGTAAGCTTGGAGAGAAAACAAACACTTGATCGGTAGAAATTAACAAGCAAGTTCATCAAGTTACAAGCACACGAGAACAACACACATAAACCCCGATCAGGAAGTTAATTAACATAGCAAGACACGATAGAACATTGTAACAAACTGAAACATTCCGCAACCCATTTCGAGGCTATGATCTATCAGAAACCACACGGATGTCTCTGCCGTAAGTAGAGGCTGGCTCTACATGCCATCCAGGTTAATTGACCTGGCCCTCTGAGCCTCCTGAGACAACCGGGAGATTCCTGGACCTGATCTCGACAACTTCCTCCGTCCGGAAAGCCTCCGTAGTTGCCAACTTGTTATGCTTCTGTAGATCTGCATGCGCAAGAAGCCACACACGTCGCGAATCATTAGCAATTATAGATAGAAATAGGTACAACTTCAGCAATGCCGTTGTCATAGGAGTGTCGCGCGTGTGTGTTTACGTACCCTTGTCGTCTTGGGCGCGGGCGCTGTAGCCGGTGACGCGCTCGACGAGGTCGTAGAACACGTCCAGGAGCTGGGCGGCGTAGCTGGCCATGGGAGTTGGTGCTGTTAAATCCAAGCTGCCGAGCTAGCTGCTTGATGCTATTGCTTTCAGCTCAGCTGTGATTGGTGACACTGGCGTGAGTGAGGCTATTGCTTTCAGCTCAACTGTGAGTGGTGACACTGGTGAGTGAGTCATGTTGGCATCGCCGGGGGGACGGTATTTATACACGGCGCGGCGCCACCAACCGACCAGTCACACCAGGTAGCTAGGACGTCGTACCATACTCAGAGCGCGACAGTTGAGTGCTACTACCGCACTACCCGCATGCATGTGAATCATGCGTGTGGATCGTGGGAATCGGAATTTCTCGATCGGCATGCATGTGAATCATGCGTAGTTCAGCACTCCACTACTACACGGTCTTCTTCTGGTCGATCACATTCCCAAATGGATGGCCGCCCTCTTCTTATTGCAACTTGCTCCAAAGAGACGCCACGGCTACTGGAAAATGCACCGGGCTACAGAGAGTTGTTGATTGTCCACTATTAACAGCAAGACTGCGGCAAGCATACTAATATCAAGGCGACTGTTGAAACGACCAAATTGCACCATCAACTTGCTTGATGATATGATACACTCCCTCGGTTACTAAATATAAGTCTTTCAATAAATTTTAACATGGACTACATACAAAGCAAAATGAGTAATCTACACTCTAAACTATGTCTATATACATCCGTATGTAATTCATATTGAAATCTCTGAAAAAACTTATATTTAGGAACTGGAGGGAGCAATGTGCACAGATGTCAGCGTAGCGACTTGC